CAAGGATGATGTGAACATCAAAATCAACCTCACAGTCAAAAATCATAAAATCCGCTGGAAAGATGAACGACTCCACTTTTACTAGCACATTATAGAGTACACCAATGGGCCTTTTCACGGTATGATTGGCCATAAGTAGCCGCATCGTAATAGGCTTTGGATCCCCTAGACCCAACTTCTCATAAATAGATAATGACATAAGGTTGATGCTAGCACCAAGATCACGCAATGCCTTAGCAAAGTGTAACAACCCTATAGTACATGGGATTGTGAAAGCACCAGGGTCTTCCTTCTTCTACACAATAGATCTTGTAGCAATAGCGCTACAATGCTACAATCTACCATCATCTTCAAAACTCATAGACCTTTTCTTTGTCACTATATCTTTCATAAACTTCGCATACCCAAACATTTGCTCCAAAGCTTCAATCAAAGGAACATTGATGGAAAGCTGCTTCAACATAGTAATAAACCTGCAATATTTACCATATTCAGTCTCTTTCACTAACCTCCGTGGAAAAGGTGGTGGAGGTCTAGGTATGGGGACCAATTTATGATATATCTCAGTTTCTTTCCCTGTCGCATTCTCAGACTCTTCTCTAACCTCTACCACATCATCTTATTTTCTAATCTCAACATCCACCACAGACGACATATGTGGATCTATGGTTTGCTTACCCCCTCGAGTAGTAACTGCCATACAAGGAACGTCATTCTTTGGATTCTGGATGTTGACGTGGGTTCACTGTAGTAGATAACTGGGTCATCTGCTGCTCTAGGTGCTTTATTGACACTGCATGGGCATCAACCTTTTGACCAATACCAGACAAGTTATTTCTCATCTCTTTCACATTCTCATCAGTTGTATCAAACCTTCTCATCATCTTCTGCATCATATCTTCAATACGCGCCATATTGCCTCCAGCTTCCCTAGTACCAGATTTTTGATTTTGAGGGGGAACATAAGGTCCAACCTGATCTTTTCTATTGCCATAGTTGTTCCTGTTATAGTTGTTGTCGCGATTGAAGTTCCCATCCTGGACATATTGACCCTCTCGGTTGTAGTTGCCATAGTTCCGACCTTGGTTTCCTTGACCTTGGCGCCAATTTTCCACGTTGGATCCTTGGGAGTTTGGTCAGAAACCCCCCATCTGATCATTCGCCGGATAAGCATCCTCTTCATAGTAACACTCTTTAACTGGTGGTGGCGTTCTAGTCAAGTAATTCACAACATTTATCTTCTTTGCACCTCCACTCATATGCTTTAATACCAACCCCGACTCGGTCCTCATCTGAGCCATCTCCTCACGAATCTTATTCGCAGACTGGGTGTTTGTATTCTGAATGGCAAATGTATTTCTCCCAGTATCTGACCTCCTAGTGCTCCATGCTTTATTGTTGCGATAGATCTTCTCCAATTTTTCAGAAATCTGTGCATATGTGCAGTCGCCATATGAACCTCCTGCAATAGTATCAAACACTGCTTTATTGTTGTCATCCTGACCTCGATAGAAATATTCCTTCGGCGACTCATCATCAATACGGTGATTTGGGACACCTCTTATGAACGCAGTGAATCTGTCCCAAGATCTACTCACAGAATCTCCAGGTAATGCTACAAAATTGTTGACCCTATCTTTGTGATTGAGCTTCTTGGACACAGGATAGTACCTTGCTCGAAACACATCCGTCAGTTGGTTCCATGTAATGATTGAGTTATAAGGAACCTCAACCATACTGCAGCATTTCCTGTCAGTGATAGAGGGAACAGTCGTAATCCGATGACATCCATATCCAAGTCTGGTCTGGCTACACAACTTTTGCAAACCACCCTTAGCTTGGCTAAGTGAGCATGTGGGTCCTCCGATGGCAATCCTGAGAATAAGCCCATTGCTGTAAGCATCTGCATCAAGCTACTAGTCACCACAAATGTGTGCCCTGGAGGTAGAGGGGTAAGGACAATAGGTCCATCAGAGTCTGCTATATTGACATTACCCCGATAGTTGTCATGTTGTCGTGGGCCTGGTGGATCTTGCACCCTAAATGCATCTCCCAATTGATTGTCAGCTGGAACCTGGTTGTCCCTACCAACTACCATCGGCTGTTATAACTCAACTGCATCACTTGGATTTCCTCCGATAGGACTAACTGGATCTCCTGGATTGTTCATTCTTCCCAAGGTGCGGTTCAACTCTGGATCGTAAGGAGTAAGTGGTTCACCCTCGCTCCGTGTACTTGGCATACACTAGAGTCAGAACCTGAGAGAGACAAAAACAAAGAGAAAAAGTAAAATTAGGAAATATTTGACTAACGTTCAATAATGTAGTTAAAATAAATCTAAAAGCCAAATGACCTCGGTAGCAGCGCCAAAATTTGATATGCTCAAATTACACTTCCCTAAAGAAGCATAAGCGATCGTTATCAAGTAAAGAACCTAACTTGTAGGTTGGGGTCGATCCCACGAGGAAAATGGTTTAGACTTTGCTTTAACCAACAATTATATTCAATTAGTCAAATTACTTCCAAAAACAAGTAATTAAAAGGGTTTTTTTTTTTGTGAAACAAATCGTAAGAATTCAATAAGTAATAAGTAATCAAAAGTCAATTTTTGGTTGTTATCAAGATGAAAGAAATAACTAGGGTATACGTGTTTCCCACAAGCTCATAACACAATAATCCTAATAATAGCAATCATTTCCTAGTGTACTATATGCAAAGTGATAAGTTAGGTATCTCTAAATCCCTGGTCCAGCATCTAGAGAATTTCACCCCGCACCTTCGTCTGGCTACGTGTGTATAATTTACTAACCCTTACCTTTACCTCATATTAGACATCATAATCGATGTTTGGCTCAGTTATTACTTCGCACCAATCGACACTAGCCTATTATATAGTATCACACTAAATCTATGTTGATAATTCTTTTCTTGTTGATTACCTCATTGGTTCGGCAAGTAGCAACAAGACGAGTTCTAACACGTGCACTCGTTAAAAAGACTTCTAAACGAAAGAATTATCAATGCATGCAGAACACTATTCAAGTATTGCTTATTTACTATTCATACTTTGTTAATCACTCATGGTTCCCACAACCCTAGTTGTGGGGTTTAGGTACCCATAATCATATGAACATAATTCATTGTTATAGATGAAAGAATTTTGAACTTACTTGAGAAGAATAATAAACCTAGAAATTCAACTTGAATTGCAACACACAAATCTTCAAACCGAACTTAGGAAATTAATAATTGCTAAGTTTGCAAGAATAATCTCCCAAGTCACAAAATAGAACTAACGTAATAATGTCTAACCCCCAAAAACGAGGTTTACATGCCCTATTTATAGAAAACAAGTCCTAAATTAAAAGGGAAACAAAATAAGGAAAGTTTGTTCAGGGACGCGTCTTCATTCTAGGAGACTGACTCACGAACCGTCAATGGATCTACGGTTCGTGAGTCCCTTCCGTTAGCCAGGACTTAGAGAATATTTCAGCTTCCAAAAATCAGCTTCTTTAAAGCAAACGACGAAACTGTAGTACGGACCGTAGATTGATCTATGGTCTGTCAATCCCCTTCCGTAGCTCCACACTTGGAATCTTCAAAAATCAGGTATTGGAACCCTCACAGTATCAATCTATGGATCAACAGTACGGATCCATCTACAGATTGTCAATGGCCACCGTGGTTCCACACTTGGTCAGATTTCCCTAATTTACCTTTTATGCCTTGCCTGCTGATCTACAACCACCATCTACAGAGCGTCAATGGACCTACGATCCGTAGATCACTTCCGTAGATGCCCTTTTTCTACATTTCTTTCAGTTGTCTCTTTACTTCCGCGCCTGAACATCTCTCCTGCAAAGTATGATAAAAACACATAAAAACCAATACAAAAAGGCCCTAGACACACACAACTTGTAAGCTAAATGTATTAGAAATACCATAAACTCACGGTATATCAACACGTACATTTATTATTTGCTAAAGTGGACCCACTAGCTTAGATCATTTAAGACAATTCTTTGAGGGCACGTAGTTTGGGACAAGGAGATTGCTTCTAGAGACCTGACCTCTACTAACAGGAAGACATTCATCTCTAAGTCATCTCGGTGCTAAGTAAATCCCAACGGAAAAAGACATAATGATCATCAAAATACTTGGTAGGCAACAAGTAAAAACTACCAATCAGTCATAAGTTCATATTAGAATAGCTTCTTTCAAAACAATGCATTCATAATCCTGTAACATAAGACACACACCTATATAAGCATCTAAATCATGATTTCCTTTCAAATGTGAGAAAACCTTTCACAAATTATTGGCATAATTTCATCTTAAAAACTCCATGCAAGGGCTTCTTTACCATTTGGTAGTTGAAAGTTTGAAGAAGAAACTCCATGAGAGAAAGGTTTAAAGCTTAAGCTAAAATTGTGGGTTCTTCTTCTTCTTTGGGACTATTTAGATTGAATTTGTCTGTGTATACTTCATGTATAGTTAAGTTGTATTCAACTTTTTGAGTGTATCATAATATATATTCCGTGCATAGCTCGTGTATAGGTAATTTGTATTGTATAGTGAGTGTATACTTTCTATGCCTTTTAACAAAATATATAGTATATTCATTGTATATTTGTTGTGTCTTTTGACTATTTTTTATGTAAATAAAAACACGGCTATATTTATTGTAAACTAATTACTTTATTCAACAAAACACAGCTTGAATTTGTCCATAGGATTGAGAATGTGCCACGATGAGACTTGAGATAAATTGAATAAAGCAAATCTGAGACATTGACAGTAAAGCAAATCATGTTCCACCATTTTGGAACACTAATATTAAGAGGAAACATTGAGACTTATTGAAACCAACCAGCATTTCAAAACAACATCAAGTGCAAATCAAGTTCTAAAAAAAACAATCTTTACAGGAATCCAACAATTTAGCAAACATTTGCAGCAAACAAGTGATCGATTCGGAACAAGAGACTCTGAGAACATGCTCAACCTGCAAGAAGTTGAATCTTGATCTTCTGTAGTATCCCTGCAACATCTTTCATGTTTGTCCTTCTTGCCGGAGATTCAGCACAACAATCTAATGCGACTTTCATGATTGATGCCACAACATCTAGATCCTTTTGTAAGCGATTATCCATTGGTGTTACCAAATTGGCATCTACAACATCCATTACTGCCTTGGGGAGTGAATAAATCACCCATTGCTTCAAGCTAAGATCTCCCTCAAACCCATTAGGCTTTCTCCTAGTAAACGTTTCCAGTAACATGATCCCATAACTATAGACACCACATTTTATTGACAACAGTCCATCCATTCCATACTCTACGGTCAAACAATTAATTTAAAGATGATATATGCTTTCTTGATAAGGGAAAAAAGACGAGGAAAAACCATTGTTCAAATTAGCAAAAACAAAGAGACGTACCCGGTGCAATATAGCCAAATGTTGCTAAGGTTGTAGTATATAAATCACTCTCATCTTCACCAAGTAGTTTTGAAATACCAAAGTCACTTAGGTGGGCAACCATATCCTCATCCAGTAAGACGTTACTAGGCTTTAGGTCACAGTGAATCACGGGCAACGAGCATCCATGGTGGAGATATTCCAACGCACATACCACATCTATCATTATGCTTACTCTTTGCCTAAAGTCTAGGAAGTAGTTGTGCGAATACAAACACTTCTCAAGACTTCCATTAGGCATATACTCGAGCACTAAAGCCTTAAAATCAAGGTTGGAACAACTAGTGATGACTTTCACAAGATTCTTATGGCGAAGGCTACGCAAAACTTCACATTCTGTATCAAAACTCTTGAATGCCGCTTCCGTTTGCAGATTGAACACTTTAACTGCAATGACAGTCCCACTTCTAAGAACACCTTTGTAAACAGAGCCAAAACCTCCGAAACCAATCAGATTACTATCGCTAAGTGCATCAGTTGGTCGGAGCAGTTCATAATAAGAAATTCTTTCTCGTTCTACGGTGGACAATGAATTAGCTTGTTGAGGAGCTCTTTTACCTCTTCTATACCTTATCCATATAGACACATAGGTGATAGGAACAAATAAAAGTGCAATTCCTAGCAAAAGAAATAGAAGTAGCGATTTTTTTCTATTTGATCTGTGTTTTGATGAAGTGGGGCATGGCGGGACACTAAATCTTGAAGAACCGCAAAATGCTTCATTGTGGATGAAAAACTTACTCGAGAGGTTCTTGAAAGGACCCCCCGAAGGAATTTCACCATACAACTTGTTGTTAGAAACATTGAAATACTTGAGATAGTGAAGTTTCTCGAGAGACATAGGAATGATTCCCGATATATTATTATGAGAAAGGTCTAGGAATTCCAAACCTACTATGTTGCTCATTGATTCAAGTATAGATCCTTGTAAATTGTTGTGCTGCAAAGAAAGGTGCTCCAAATTTTGCAATCCTCCAATTTCTCTAGGAATTCTATTTGAGAATTGATTCATTGACAGATCCATCCGTGTCACAGCCTTTAGATTTCCAATTTCTGGAGGTAAAGAACCAACCATGTTGTTTGACGATAAGTCAAGAACCACTAAATCTTTAAGATTCCCAAAACTTGTTGGTATATTGGAACTCAATTTATTGGAACCAAAATGTATCTCTCTAAGGGATGTGACGTTCCCTAAACAATTAGGAATAGATCCTGAAAATTGATTTTGTCCTAAGTAAATCTCAGCTAAATGCCGCAATTTACAAATGTTATCTCCAATAAATCCTGTAAGTATGTTGTTACTCAAGTTGAACCGCTGAAGATTTCTCAAGTTTCCAATTGATGTCGGAATTGATCCAACCAAGTTGTTTCTAGAAAGATCAAGGAATAATAAGTTGCTTAAGTTCCCAACTTCATTTGGAAGTTGCCCTTTTATTTTGCAACTCCTGGCGGAAAATTTTATCAGAGATGTTGAAAGGTTCCCTACAGATACCGGAAGCATGCCGTTTAATGGGTTCAAAGATAGAAAAAGATATTTTAAATTTCTCAAATTTGATAAGGAAGTAATGAAGGTTAAAAATGAATCACTAGTAAAATGTTTCCCTCCAAGTTTTGGACTTGTAGACAAGGCAAATATCCGAGAGAATTGGGAATCAAGCATGTGAGTTTGTTATCTGAAATCTCGATAATAATAAGTTTGGAACAATTGTAGATAGATTGAGGAATAGTCCCAACAAGATTGGTTAAACTGCTCAGAAAAAGTTCTTCAATGTTGGGTGAGACGAAATCTATGATCGATGGTAGAGTTGCTGATATATTATTGTATGAAAGATCCATTATTCTCAGTCCTGATACGTTGAACGTCTCCGTTGGAAATGAACCACTAAAACTATTTTCCTCGACATGAAATTCCTCTAGCTCAATGAGATTTCCTATCTCTTTCGGTATTTCACCTGGCAGCGAGATCAAATACATTGAGTTTAACTAGTTGATTCAATCTAGCATATTTGTATCACTTGAATACGTACCTCTAAGCTTATTTGTACTAAGCTGTGGAACTTGTATCTTGGTTAAGTTGCCAATATCCCGTGGTAGGGATCCGTTGAGATTGTTAATTGCCAGTGATAAATACTGTAGGGAGGAGATATTGAATATGGATATCGGGACAGAGGCGGTAATCTAGTTTACCTCCATGGATAACTCCACCAAATTAACATGATTTCCGATTTCATGAGGAATTAGCCCTGCAATATTCATAAATTAGCTACAATACTACTAGCGTTCACAAAAAATAAGGCATAATACATAAATATACCATTCAACTTGGCTTCAGTTGATATCTATGCACTCCAACTTTGGATTCCCACAATATGTACTTAAGCTTGAATAAAATTGAACAAATACACACATTCGTCTTACGTGGCGTCCTACATCTCAATTTTGTGTCCTACATGGCGTCCTATGTGTATTTTACCACATAAAACACTTGTTCTACTTGTTCAACTTTATACAAGTTTAAGTGTCTACTTGTGCCACCCTAAAGTTACATTGGAGGGCATATATGTCAGCATAAGCCAAGTTAAAGTGCATATTTATGTATTATGCCAAAAAATAATGTTGTCGGATCATACCTGTGAAATGGTTAGATCCAAGAAGTAATGTCTGCAAGTTACTCAATCTTCCAATTTCACTATGTATTGGTCCATCAAACTCATTTGTTGATAAAGACAATGTTTGAAGTTGCGAACAATTCGACAAGCTTGTAGGCATATGACCATGAAGCTTGTTCATTGATAGATAAAGTCCTTTGAGTACAGAGACACCATTGCATAAACCATTCGGAAGATTCCATGATAAGTAATTGTTCGTAAATCCAATTACTTCAATTCTTTGAAATGTTGAATACTGACAATGGTATAGAACATGTAAGCTTATTAGATTCTACAGCCAATTTGTTTAGGTGGTGAAGATTGTTCATCCATTCCGGGAGGTTTCCTTGAAGGGAATTGTATGAAAGAAGCAAAGTCTCCAACATTGAGGCGTTTGAGATAGACTGAGGGATAGAACCTATGAGATTGTTCCCACCCAAGCTTAAATATCTTAGGCATATGAAACTTCCAATCTCCTTGGGGATTTGACCCTCTAAGGAATTGTATGTCATATCCAAGAATTCAAACTTTGTTATATTAGAAAAAGAAAAGGGGAGGGAGCCGGTGAGACTATTGTTCCTAAGATTTAGATATTGAAGTTGGTGTAAAAATCCAAACCAAGAAGGAACCTCCCCACTGAAGTTGTTGAAACTTAACTTAAGAAACTTTAGCCGACCTAAGCATGCCATTTCTTGAGGCAAATTTCCCCAAAAATTGTTGTTTCCCAAGTCAAGAGAAACAAGAAATGCGAGGTTTCCAAAATCGTGGGGAATCCTGCTTGTAAGAGCCATGTTGGAAAAATTCAAGGACTTCACTCGTTGGTGACGAGAGCCACAAGTGACTCCAACCCAATGACAAACAGAATAGCGGGGGACCAACTTTCATCCAAGAAGTGAAAGGGGTCCGAAATGATTTGAGATTTTAAAGAAAGAAGAGTTAATTGATTGGTGGTAATGTTGGCTTGAGCTCATGGCTGAACTAGCCATAACATAGTGAAGCAACAAGAGAAAAGAGAATAATATTTTTTCCATATTTGCATAAATTAGTAGGAATGATATAGCAAGTATCCTATGGTTTTGAGACTTTAAATAGTGATAATTTTAAGAATATTTGTTTTTTACTATTACTGTTTCTTCAATTTACTCTATCATTTCAATATTGTTCCCAACTTAATTTATTTCTAGTTTAATTATGTAGGCCCAAGGACTTGACCAATTGAAACAAGGGTAACTTACATAAATATACTACATTAAGAAAAATATTTACCATTTATAGTAACAACAAAAACCAAATCAACAAAGTCTTGCAAATCGTGATTGTGGTGTTAACGTGTTTACACAAATTCATGGGAAAGCAAGTAAAATTGTCCTTTAAAATATACTCCCTTTCTTTCCTAATTTATGTGGCACTTTTAATTTTTTGAAAGTCAAATAGTTTAAACTTGACTGGAAATTTGCGCATAGAATCTTCAATTTTTTTGAAATTAAATTTATATATTTGTAAACTATGTAAAAAGTACTACAAGCCACAATAACAGTCAATTCAAAATATTTAAAAGGTATATGAAAATTTGAGGGATAATTCATAAGTACCCCCTAAACAATGACCGAAATTCCAGTGATCACACACCTTAACTTAATTAGGGTCTTATTACCCTCATGAACTCATTTTTTCTATATTTTAGTGCACTTTTTGTGTTGACGCTTACTAACTACATATGTACAACAACCTCCTCTACACACGTGTGTTATTTATTTATTTTTATTTTTATTTTAAATTTCTTATTTTAAAAAAATATCTTCTTATTATCTTTATCTTGTATTTAAATTAAGTCAATACTCATTAAAAAAAAAAATTGCCTTGTATTTAAACTTTTTTTCTTCATTTTTAACCTTCATTCATTGTTTTTCTCCCTTTTTGATTTTATTTATTTCTTTACCTTTTCTTTTAATTTAATTCAAAGATTGTATTTAAAATATGTTAATTTAGAACGGATATCAAAATAAATGAAGAAAGTCAAATAAAATACTATATAAAAAAATTAAAACGTTAAAAATTAAAGGAGAATTTTAATTTATTATTTTTAAAAAATACACATAAATTTTTAAAAATAATTAAAAGTGAAAAGATAAGAAATCAATGAAAGAGAAAAAAAATAAAAAGGTCAACGTGAGGAAGAAATTAATATATTTTACAAAGAAAGAAATTAAAATAATTAAATATATATAAGTTTTAATGTCAATAATTATGTGTACTAACCAATTGTAAATAGACCAATTAAAAAAGGATATGTGTCCAATTTCCCCTAGTTAAGTTTAGGTGGGTCGCTATGATTTCAGTCATAGTTTAGGGGGTCCTTATGCATTATCCCAAAAATTTACGATCAAAGATAGATTTATTTGAATCTCAAAATTTGAAAAGTGTCACATAAATTGAGACGGAAGGAGCAACACTAAACCTTGACTTAGTTTCTTATGTTTATAATTCAGCGCATGTTAGAAACAACGTCAAAATTTGAATTTTTAGTACTAGACTAGTGACATCTTGTGTTAGTTATGATCGGGTTCTAAATTTTAAATTATATATATATTTAGCGAATTTTTAAATATAAATATTAAATTTGAATTAAGGCTACTAAATTTAGTCGAACCCGCGGATAACCTTCTAGCTCCGTCCCAATGCATACCAACACAAATGCGTGTTTTGCTTGTGTGTTGACATATCATGAATTCAACTTCTTGACATTCTCGTGGTGTGTGTCTCACATTATTGAAAATGAGAATGCATAGTCCCAGAGCCGTCTCAACCCCTAGGCCACTAAAGTCATCGCTTGGGTCCCATATTTTTAGGAGCCCCATTTTAAATATTTTTTTTACCTATAAATATTATTTTTTAAAAAAATTATATGTACTGTGAATGCTATGATTTCTACCAAGGAAATTGCATCTGAAATGAATATAGAACCTGAATTTTGTAAGAAACAGTTTGATGAAAATATTGGTAACGAAATCACAAAGTCCCTTGAAATTAGAGTTGATGCTATTTTTCACTTCAAAATAAAATTGAACCAATTGAAGCATATGAAAATATTTTTGGTTTCTTATTTAGTGGTAAATTGAGATCACTAGATGAAGAGAATTAAAAAAAAATATTGATTTAACCTTAAACTTTCTTTAACACATAATAGTTATTTTGATATTGACGGTTTAAATTTATTTTTTGAATTAAAAGTGTTAAGAGAAATAATATATGTGGAAGATAATGATGTAATGAAAATAGTCAATGAAATAAAAGGACTTGATTCTTTTCTAAATATATATATTGCTTGTAGAATAATGTTAACAGTTCTTGTAACCGTTGTCGCAGCCCAAAGAATATTTTTGAAACTAAATTGATTAAATCTTATTTAAGATCAACAATGTCTCAAGATAGATTGAATAAATTAGCTATATTATCAATTGAAAAGGAATTATTAAAACAAATCTATTATAAAACGGTAGCCAATGACTTCGCATCTAAAAAAGCTAGAAATTAAAAGTAGATTTTAAATAAAAGTATATATGATGAAAAATATTAATTATTAGGGCCCCTCTCTTAAGTTTCGCTTCAGGCCCCAATCTTATTGAGTAGCTCTGCATAGTCCATGAGTTGTTAATATCTATTTCTACTGATTATAATTCAACTCCTCTATCATCTCAATAGAAAATTAGTAGTTTCATTTCTAATCTATTGATAGTCTTAAAAAAATACCCCTCTATTTAACTAACTAAATATAATAAATGTAGATTTGCTTTTTTCTTCTTACAAATATTGTTCATCAAGGATGTAACCGGAATCGATCCAATCAAGTTGTTTTCAGCTAGAGCAAGGGTTTATTGAATTGTTTAAGTTACATCCATGCACTTTCGATTTGTATTTTTGATAAATAGTTCAAGTATGAAACATGCAAATAAATGATACTTCAATTGTGTTTTTGATCATTATCTCTTCTCACTTAGAAGACAAGATATTTAGGAAGTGTTTGACTAAGCTTATAGGTTGATTAAACTAACTTATAAACACGTTTTAGCTTATGTACGCATTTAGTAAATATTCTAAGTACTTATAAACTAAATCAACCAAAAGTCATAAGTTGGCCATGCCTAAATTATTAATTTTCAGCATATGAAGACTTCTAGTTTTATCAAGTCTTTTACTATTTTGTCCTTTTAAAAAAAAAAAATCTCCAAAATAAAACTGGTAAGTTCCTCTTCACTAACTATACATCGTTGCTGTTTTTCTTTACAAGGACACTTTTAGATTTGTAAATTTCTTTTATAAACAAATTAAAGTTATTTTAATCAGTTTAACAATAGAACAACTTATTGCCAAATATGTAACTCTTTATTACTTCCTCTGTCCCAATTTATGTGGCACTTTTCGTTTTTGAGAGTCAAACAATTTAAGTTTACCGGAAATTTGCACATGAAATCTTCAACTTTATCAAATGAAATTTATATATTTGTAAACTACGTAAAAAGTACTATAAGTCACAATAATTGATAATTCAAAATGTTTAAAAGATCTATGAAAAATTTAAGGTCAAATATAAACTTGTTTGAATCTCAAAATTCGAAAAATACCACATAAAATGGGACGGAGGGAGTATCAGTTTTAACACTTGTATCTGAAAATGTAATCTTTTTTTTTATCTGGGTCAGTCCTCAGCACCTCGACTAATTCCATCTTATATCTATCACCTCCCACCAACCACATATACTAAGTAATTGTTAAGCATTAACACTTCCAGACAAATTATGCAGAGGCGGATCTAGATTTTGGAGGTGTTAGGTGCCACGCCGTCCAAGTAAGATAAACGGATCGGTTGCTTCGATTTTGGATTACAATTCAGGTTATTCAGATTTTTATAAACAAATCGATCAGACATGCATGTTAATAATATTTTGTTTTAGATATTTTAAGATAACTAAAACCATTCAATTTGTATTTCTTTTTAGAAATTAGAGGTCTTATTCTCTGAAACTTTGATTAAAAGAGAGATTTTCCACATTAAAAATTTGAGCTTGTATAAATCATCTATTAGTGTTAACTTAATCTATTCATATTTCATTGTCTTTTTGTGTTGTTGGAGATATATAGTAGAGAAAGAATAAAACTTGTAGTTTCAACCTAGTCATCTTACTTAGCAAGAATATCGATGAAGATCGAAAGAACCTTTAAATTAAAAGAACTCTAATAATAATATTCATCATTTTAAAAACTTATATTTTTTAAAAAAAATACTATTTAAATATATTCTTAGAGTAATATTTAGGTGATGTTCATAATTCAGTACTCATTAATTGATAAATAATGCACACGTATCACTCATATCAAGAGATTAATAATTAGTGAAAGAGAAAGTTGAAAAAAATGAAGAATAAATTATGGCAAAAAAGATTCAATTTGAATTAATAAAGAATAACAAATAAATAAGAACAAATGGAAAAAAGAAAAAAAACACTAAAGCACCTCACACATCATGTTTATGATTAATATTGTATGATTCTTTGTCAGATTGTACCCAATGGTGGATTTAGGATTTTAAGGTGGTCGGTGCTCCAAGAAAAACAAATCTTTAAAAAATTCAAAATAACACCATAGTGGGAATTGAACGTGCCCACAACACATATACGACTTGAGCACCCACAAACAACCACTACACCAAGCAACATACTTGTTGCATGGATGCTCACTATTTAGTTTTATACCATTTTTTCAAATTTTTATATAAA